CACACTGGACGATGAAAGCGCCAAGGTACTGGTCGACACGCTAACTGACACGCTAGCAGAAGGCGACGCAGAGACACTTGGTGACGCACTGATCGATGTAAAGGCCGAGGCACTGGTGGACATGTTGCCTGACACACTAGCAGAGCTGGAGGCCAAGACATTCGGCGACACACTATGTGATGCGGAAGCAAAAGCACTTCTCGACCCTTTGGCCGACACCCTTGCAGAGGTGAAAGCCGACAGACCTGGCGACACACTATTCAATGCAGAGACCAAGATACTGGTCAAAACTCTACCTGAAACAATAGCAGAGGTGGAGGTGAAGACACTTATCAACACACCGAGAGATGTGGAAGCCGAGGCGGTGGTCGACACCCTAGATGATACGCTACCAAAAGTGCCGGCCGAGATAGTTGTAATGAACTAGGCGTTCTAAAGGTCGAGGCACTGTTGGACACACTGGCTCACATGGTAGCAGAGGTGAAGGACGAGGCGCTACTCCACACGCTGGCTGACCCTCTAGCAAAACTAAAGGCCGATACACTTAGCCACAGATTGCGCGATGTCGAGGCCGAGGCTTTGGTCAAAACACTTAGCCTCCAGACACTTCGCTTCACACTGGGCGATGTGCAGGTTAATGAACTGGTCGATACCCTGGCTAAGAATCCGAGGCCAAGAGACTAGTCGTCGACACTGACTGTAACGATTGCCGAGGTGATGGCCAAAACACTTGTTGACACACTGAACGATGTGAAGGCCGAGGCACTTCTCCACACGCTGCCTGACACTCTAGCAAAACTAAAGGCCGAGAAATTTGGGGACACATTGGGCGATGCAAAGGCTGAAACATTGGTCGAAACGCTCGCTGACACGCTAATAGAGGTGAAGGCTGAGGTACTGGACCATCGGGTCGCTAACACTTAAGCAAAAGTAAAGGCCGATACACTTGGCAACACAATAGGCGATGGTCGAGGCCAAGGAACTTCTCGAAACGCTGCGCCTACAGACACTTGGCGTCACAGTGAGAGATGTGCAGGTTAAGGCACTGGTCGAAAAGCTTGCTGCTACTCTAGCGAAGGTAGAGGCTGAGACATTCTGCGACACACAAAGCGATCTAGATGCAGAAGTACTCTTCGAGGACGTGGCTGACAAGCACGAAGAATTGGAGGCCTAAACACTGCTCGTCGCCCTAGTTGACACCCTAGCGGAGGTGAGGCTCGAGACGTTTGGTGACACAAAGGGCTGTCCGAAGGCTGCGACACTGGTCGACACGCTAGCTGCCATGCTAGCGAAGGCAGAGGCCAACGAACTGGTTCACACGCTGACTGAAGCTCTACCAAAAGTAAATGGTGATAAAGTTTTCGACACATTAGACAATGTCGAGGCCGACACACCGGTCGAAACGCTGCGCTTTCAGGAACTTGGTGTCCCACTGGGCGATGTCCTTGTTAAGGAACAAATTCACACTCTGGCTGACACGCTAGAAGGGGTAGAGGTTGAGATAGTTGGTAAGAAACTGGGAGATGTGGATGCCGAGGCTATGCTCCACACACTGGTTGACACGCTAGAAGCGGCGAAGAGCGAAACACGTCGCGACAGACTTTGCGATGTGCAGACAAAGACACTATCATTCGCCCTAGCTAAAACACTAGCCGAGGTAAAAGCCGAGACACTTTGTGATACAATGCGTAATAAGAAGGCCAGGGCGCTGGTCCACACGCTGGCTGGCACACTAGAAAAGGTAGAGGCCGGGGTATCTGGCGACGCACTGGACGATGCGCAGCCCGACACTGTAATTAACACACTGGCTGACACGCTAGGAAAAGTCGAGGCTAAGACACTTGGAGAGACGCTGGGCGATGTAGAGACCGAGGAACTGGTGAACACGCTCACTGGCACAGCTGCCAAAAGAGGGGATGATTAAGAGACGTAGGCACTAGTTCACACGCTAGGTGACACGCAAGCAGTGGTTGAGACCAAGACACTAGCTGACACATTCAGTGATGTGAAGGCCGACGCACTGGTCAACACGCTAACTGAGAGGCTAGCAGAGTTGGTGGCAAAGACACTTGGCGACACACTGGACGATGGACGCTACAACCAGTTGCAAAAATGATGAGACACTCCCACGGAAAAACGACCTTTCTTGCTTCAAGTCGCTCCTGGTCAGAGGTCTGTAAAATATAACACTGACCTTCCTCCTCCCTCCCATTCAAAGTTGTTCCTCTAAGTTTTGAGTATGGTCTTGTATTGCTAGCAACTTTCAAAAGGGGTGGAGGGGGGATCACAAGCACAAGATCATGGACAGGCCATTTATGCCAAAATACGGTACAGTGTCTCAAGTACTTTTGCAACTGGTTGTAGCAGAGGTGGAGGCCAAAAAGCCTGTCCACACACTATGCGATGTGAAGGCTGAGGTACTGGTGGACAAGCTGCCTGACACGCTAACAGACGTGAATACCGAGAGAATTGGCCACACACTGGCGGATGTGAAGGGCAAGGCATTGGTTAACGTGCTGTGTAACACGCTTCCTGGGGTGGAGGCGGAGACAATTGGCGACAAACTGAACGATGTAGAGGTCGAGGCACTAGTCGACACAATGGCTGACACGCTAGCAGAGAGGCAGGCCGAGACAGTTCGTGACACAAAGGCCGATGTGGAAGCCGAAGCCCTGGTTTACAGGCTGCCTAATACGCTAGCAGGAGTGGAGGCCAAGACACTTAGCCACACACTGGCGGGATGTGGAAGGTCAAGCACAGGTTTACGTGCTAGGTGACACACTTGCTGGGGTGGAGGCCAAGACGAGGACGAGTCCAAGGATCGGGTCGACGCGGTTCCTGACACGCTAGGAAATGTGGATGCCGAAACAATTGGCGACACACTGGGCGACGTGAGCCAGAAACACTGGTCCGCATGCTGGCTGAGACGCTTCCAGAGGTCAGCGCTAAAATACTTTGTTACACACTGAGCAATGTAAAGGCCGAAGAACTTGTGCACACCCTGACTAACATCCTAGCCGAGGTGGAGAGTAAGACACTTGGCAAGAAACTGAGCGATGTGAAGGCCGAGGCACTGGTACACAAGCTGCCTGACACGTGAATGCTGAGTCAATTGGCCACACATCGGCGGATGTGGAGGGAGAGGCAGTGGTGAACCCGCTGTGTGACACGCTTGCTAGGGTGGATTGAAAGAGCGATGTCAACACACTGGGTGATGAGCAGGCCGAGGCACAAGTCAAAACGGTACCCGACACGCTAGCAGAGGTGAAGGTCGAGACACTTAGCGACACACTGGGTTATAAAGAGGCCGAGCCACTGGTCAACACGCTGGTCAAGGTTATAACACATGTGAAGATCAAGACACTGGGCGACTCAATGGGCGATGTGGAGACTAAAGCACTGATCGTCACACTGCCTGACACGTTACCCGACAAGGAGGTCGAGACAGTTTTTAACACATTAAACAACGTAGAGGCCGAAGCACTGGTCGATACACTAGCTGACACTCTACCAGAAATGGAGTCCAAGACACTTAGCAGCAGGCTGTTCGATGTGGAGCACCAGGCAGTGGCCTTTGCGCTGGAATACATGGTAGCCGAGACCCCAACACAATTGGTAACCCACTTGGTGATGTCAAGGCCAAGGCACTGGTCCAAACGATGGCTGACACGGTAAAAGATGGGCAGCATACGGCACTTGCTAACACTCTAGTGATTTCGAGGCCGAGGCACTCGTCGACAACCTGACTGCCACGTAAGCTGAGGTGGAGGCCGAGACACTTGGCGACAGACTACGCGATCTAGAGGCCTACGTACAGGTCGTCGCGCTGGCTTACACACTAGCGGGGGTGGAGGCTGAAACATTTCCTGATACACTGGGCGATGTGGAAGCCGAGGCGCTTGTCCACACACTGGCTCGCACGCTAGACAAGGTGCAGTCCAAGAAATTGGCGAGACACGGGGCGATGCGGAGACCAAGACACTCACTATCAATCACCCGGAAGACAAGCTAGTTGACGCCGCGACACTTGGCGATACGGGGCCATGTAGCAGCCGAGCAACTGGACAAAGCGCTGGCTGACACTTAAGCTGATGTGGAGACCGAGGCACTAGGCGAAAAACTAGATGATGTGAAGGGCAAGGCACTGGTAGTCGTCGTACTGGCTGACGTAGCAGCCAAGGTGGAAGCCAAAACACTTGACAAAACAGTGGGCCAGATTGAAACAGAAGCGCTAATTAATCTACTGGGTGAGAGTATACAAGTCAAGACACTTAGTAACACAGTTATCTAAGTGGAGGCCAAAGCGCTGATCATCACACTGCCTGATAAGCTAGGTTGAGACAATTTGCGACACACGGGAAAAGTTAAAGGCAGAGGCACTGATTGTCACATTGGGTAATAGTCTACCAAAGATTGAGATTATGACAGTTGGCGACACACTAGCTAAGGTAAAAGCCGAGGCGCTGATGAAGACACTGGCTACCAGGTTAACAGACGTGGATGTCTAGATAGTTGGCTACGAAGCGTCCAAGGTGCAGTCCAAGGCGCTGGCTCACATACTTGCTAACACAGTAGTAGTTGTATGGATTGAGACAGTTGCCAACAATCAAGCTAAAGTGGAGGCCAAATTATTGGTTGATGCGCTGGCTGACAGACTAGCAGAAGTGGAGGTCAAGACACTTGGCCACAAACAGGCAAAGATAATGCTGCGGCACACTGTTTAATACGCTAATAGAAGTGGTGGTCGAGCCATTTGGCGACCCTCTGTCCAAGCGGAAGGCTGACGTCGTGCTCTACACACTGGCTTGTTGGTTGTAATGAGGTTAAGTGTGCATTTTGCCGTAAGAGCTCCAAAATATCGCTCTGATGATAAGCACAGTAAGACTAACTAAAGACGATTATTTGGAGGCGTCTGAGAATATTTAGCAAAGTGGCCATCTTTTGGGTCGTAATGAGGTTAAGTAAGAATTTCGCAGTGAGAGCGCAAAAATGTCGCTCTGATGAGAAGTATTACCCTAGCGAGTGTTGTGATCCTGACGAATAATGTGACGCTGAGGAGTGTTGTGACTCTGACAAGTAATGTGATCCTTACGAGTATTGTGACTCGGACGAAAGTTGTGACACTGAGAAGAACTGTTTCTGAAGAGTGGTGTGACTGTCACGACACATGTGGACCTGACGACTTTTGTAACAGTGATAAGTGTTGTGACTCTGCCTATTGGTTTGATTCTGTCCAGTATAGTGACACTTGCGTGTGCTGTGATCTCATCGACGGGTGTTGTGATCTTTGCAAGTTTGTCTGACGAATTTTGTGACTGTTACAAGAGTGGTGAACGCAGAAAGTGTTGTGAGTACAACGAGTGTTGTCACTCGGACAACTGTTTCGAATCTAACGAATGTTGTGACTCTGACCAGTTTTGTGACCCTGACGAGTGTTGTGAGCCGGACAGATGTTGTGACTCTGCCAAGTGTTTTGACACTGAAGAGTGTTGTGACTCTGACGAGCGTTGTGACTGTGACGAGACTACTCAGGATCAAATAACTCGTCAGAGTGACAACACTCACCAGAGTCACATTATTCGTCAAGATAACAAAACTCGTAAGGGTCACATCTCTCGCCACAGTCACAACACTCACCAAGGTCACAACACTGGGCAGAGGCAACACTTGTCACAGGAACATCGTTCGAGACTCTATGTGACAACTGAAGGGAGTGTTGTAAGCATAACGAGTTTGTTATGGTGAGTGTTTTAAGCCGACAACTGTTGTGACTTTCACAAGTGGTTCGCCCCCAACGAGTGCTGCGGTTCTGACGAATGTTCTTACCTGTGCCTTGGGTGTGACCAGAACGAGTGCTGTGAATCTTTCGAGTCTAATGACTCTGAGAAGGGTTTTCACCCTGTCGATTGTTGTAACTCTTGCGAATGTTTTGACTTTGACAAGAGTTGTGACTGACGATTGGTTTGACCCTAACGGGTGTTGTGACTCTGTCGAGTGCTATGAGACTGATAAGTGTTTTCACTGTAACAAGTGATGCACACTAGACGAGATTTGTGAATCTGATGAGTGTTTTAACATTGGTGATCGTTGTGAATATAACAAGCGCTTAATCTCTGAAGAGTTTTGTGACCCTGACTAGTGTTTCGACTGGCACAAGGTTTTGTTAGTCTTACTAGAGTTGTGCCTGTCACGGGTGTTGTGACCTTAAGCATTCTTGTGAATGTGATGAGTGTTGTGACCACTGAGAAGTGTTGTGACTTTCACGAGAGTTGTGACCCTAATTAGTGTTGTGATACTGACAAGTGTTGAGAAGCTGACGGGTGTTGTGACTCTCTGACCATCTTTGTTATCCTGAATTTCGGAAGTGTTGTGACCCGGACGATTGCTGTGATTCCGATGATTATTGTGACCGTGACCAGTGTTGTGACTGTGACAAGTGCTGCGAAAATGACGAATATTGTGACCCTGATGAGTGTTGTGACCCTGAATTGAGCTTTGACACTGACGAGAGAAGTGAACTTGCCAAGTGTTGTGCGTGTGACGAATACTGTCACCGTAACTAGTGTTTTGACCCTAACGATTGTTTTGACTCTGACAAGTAATTTGACTGTGACGAGGTTTGTGACTTAGAAAAGTAGTGTAAGTCTCACGAATTGTGTAACTCTGACGAGTGGTATGACTCTGTTAAGCGTTGTGGCTGTGACGAGAGTTGTAACCCTGAGGAGTGTTGTGGCTCTGATGAGTGTTGTGACTGTGAGGAGTGTTGTGACTATGACGAGTATTGTGACCCTAACGAGCATTATGACCTTGGCTAGTGCTGTGATTGTGAAGATTGGTCGTGACCCTGACGAGTGTTGTGACCCTAACGAGTGTTTTGATCCAGACGAGTATTTTGAGCCTGACGCATGTTTTGACCCTGACGTTTGATTTGACAGACGAGAGTTGTGAAGCTCACGAATGTTGTGACTGTAATGAGTGATGTGTCCCTTACGAGTGTTCTTACCCCAACAATTGTTGTGACTGATGTGTGTTGTGCCTTTGACGAGTGTGGGGATTCAGAGGAGCTCCGTGACTCTGACAAGTGTTGTAAGTGTCACAAGCGTTATGATCCCAAAGAGTGTTGCGACTCTGACCAGTGTTGAGACTGTGACGAGTCTTGTGACCCTGCCCTGTGTTTTGACTATGACGACAGAGTGACTGTGACCAGCGTTGTGCCCTTGACGAGTGTTGTGATGGGGTCTAATGTTTTGACTGCGACGAGTGTTGTGACTCTCCCTAGTGTTGTAACACTGTCAAATGTCTTTTTTCCTCACAAAAAGTGGATTACATACAATACCCTGACGATTATAAGTTCACTAACACTAACTATTAACTATACTATAGCTTACGAAATAACACTAACAATCACTAACTTAATATTACTATGATATCATGCAATACAAATAAATTATCAAGACAGTTAAGCTTGTTTAAGAAGGCAGTGAAGAAAAGGTTCGAACGATTTTATGAAGGGGACCTACGAGAGCGAAGAGAAAAAATAAACAGGAACAACATCAACAAACTAAGATTTTTCAAGGTAAAATCTGCAATAGCTCCCAGTTTTTGCTGAGGCCATCACCAGGTTTTAGCTCCAGTAGATAAGTTGATTAAAGATGTTGTAGAAAGTCCTGTATATATGGAGGGGCTTTCTTATTTTTACGTATCCAGATATAATGTCTTGCTAATAAAGAGACAGAAATTTATTTTATTATGGTTTACACAGGCGTCTGGTGTCAATCCAAAGCCCGTATAGATACTTAGTTTTTGATTTTGTGGGATAATTTGAGATAAAGTAAGTCGTTGAATAAAGGAATTCTAAAAGGTAGTTACTTTGAAACAAGACCAAAAAAGATGTGTCAGTTTTTCTAGTTCTTCGTCACAAAAGGAGCAGTTTGGATCGTCTTTTATTCCAATTTTTGTTAAACGTGTTTGGTTAATATTCGTCTTCGAAGACGTTTGAATTGAAGTTGTACCAGTCTTGTGCTTTTAGTACATTTTGGAGCTAACTGATAGGCCTTGTACCATTTGATGCACTCGTCGCCTTCGATATTGCATTCCTCTATCCATTTCTGCTGGGTCTGTGTAGGGGGTATACTTTTTCTTGATATAAGTTTAGCGTACACAACTTCACTTGATTTTTGTGCTTTTGCCAAAAAGCGGAAAAACTTGGACATTCAGAGCCGTCCGTAGCAAGATTACTTTTATGTTTCTTCTAGAGAGCTTTCAGAACGGTCAACAATCCACAATATTTAAGAGCGCATGTCCATAAATATCGACCAGAGGTGGGAAAAATAAATTTTTGAAAAATCCCAAAAAAATTCTGTACACTACCCTAGGTATTCTCGAAATAATAATATAAATTTTAGCTTTATTGCATAAATATTTTAGCGATACGGCGAATGTCAAGTTCGGGCGACTGACCGCTTTTTAGGGCCTCTAGACCGGGCTACGAAAAGAACACGGTTTCAATCAAATTCAAATATTATTAAACCCAAAAAGGTTCTTATACACATTTTAAGAGGCTGTCTCAGTAAAAACCGCCCACCCAATTTCGCGTGAAAAATAATTTTGCCTGAAACTCTGACGAGTGAAAGGCTTTATCGAGACTATAACTAAAATAGGTTTGCTTTGATTCACAATTTTCTGGCCGCGCTGGGCGGCGCCGAGTATTTTTTCCCGCCACGGCCATTTTGCACGTCTTGAAAACTGAAAATTTGGCATTTTTTGCGGCGCTGTAAAATGTTTGATTTGCACCATCTACCAATGAATTTTATACCTATTTATAGGTAAACGTCTCTAGTTTTTCCTGAAAGTAATAGTTTTCCGCTAAATTTAGCTGGAAAGACGAAATCAAGCAAAATATGACCCCAACTAATTGCCTTGGAGCGAAAGGCCAAAAATTACCCCGTTTTAAAAGCTTATTTCTGACTTTTGGGACATAGTTGAAAGCTCTAGACTAAATAGACGCAAAGATAGACCATCTGTTATTAATAATATACAAAACCCCACGTACGATTTCAGTATTTTAAAAGTTATGACCGTTGGTATCAACGCGTATGCGAGCAAATACGATATTTTCAGATTTATCGTAACGCATCTACCTCAAGCAGATTTTGTCAAAAGTACGGCTTACCTAATTCATTACTGGTACTGACTCACAAATTGAGCCATATTCCAATCCCTGAGATGCCGAACTCCATAAAATTCCACTAAATGTGCTTTAGAAACTGCTGGTATGCGGCCCTTTTTGAATCCCATGCGAACAATCCGAAGCTCAAAACAGGTGAAACTGTGTCACGTTTCGAGCTAAATAGCTCGGTAAAACAACCGTTCAGAGGTGAAAGTTTGCTCGAGAATCAGAAAATCAACTAGGCAGGTCTCATTTTGGATCAGAAAATTGAGATTTCAGAGCTACAACCTCGAATAAACTTTCCATTCAACCGGCTCTGCAAGGTCAAATGTAGGTTTGCACGTAAACCGGAAATGTTGAAACCCGGAAATAGGGAAAACCGGAAATGCGGAAATCCGGATCATCCGGAAATCGGCAAATCTGAAACCAATCAGGAGCCGAGGGCAATTCCAACAATTAGAGACAGCTGCATTCGTTTAGGGCTTCTTTTCGACGTTGAGACACGTAAAAAGATAAAACCTTCCAAACCGGCGTAGCTCTTTGATTTTCACTGAACTGAAACGCAGTTCCACGATCGATTGCGTTTGGCAAATAGGCTCCATAAGAAACAGTAAATATCATTAACCGGTTAAAACCATTCTATGTGCGTTAACATATCAGACTTGTGGCTAATACTTTACAGAAGTTGGCTATATATCGAAACTGAATGCGTCGAGATCTAGGAAACCGAGCCAGCTCGGTTGTCTGGGCTTATTAGTATAGAAGGTCCTTGAAAATCGCTTGTTAAGGGGGCATTCTGGTTGTTTTTTTTCGGGGAAAATGATGGTGATTTGGGAAATAAATAAATAAGAGTAGAAAAGGTATGCATATAAAGCGGTTATTCCGCTAATGAGATCAGAGGCACTCCTTGTTGGAGTCTCTGGTATTAATTTTTCTTCTGATTATTCACTTCATATTCTAATTTCTAGCAACCCCCAAATCCAATATGTTCCAAATTTTCCAACATTTTTAACATCCTCCCTAATTTTTATACATTAAAGATATTCGAAGAATCATCCAGAAATTCTCCAAAAATTATTGAACCAAGGCCTCAACCTTAATTGAGTCATTTTTTTGATTCACGGATAACTTGGATAGCGGATAACGCGAGGAGAGCAGAGGAAAGTCCTTTGGATTATAGGGTATGGTTGCAAGAAACTCCCATTTAATCTAGAGTAGCTTTAAGAAAGGATTTAATTCTGCAAGCGTGTTTAGACCTTAAGACCAATATTAACACCGAATGGTAACACTATTGGCAAGTCCTTGGGGCGACCCTTTTTGTAGACCAAAAATCCGATACAATATGGCCAAGAAAGGCGCTAAGATACTTTGTTTTAAGATTAGCTACAAAACACCGTTAAATGGTCGAAAAAATAATCCTACATTTGTCGATAAATTTGGGTTTTCGGACCCAAAACGAAATCTGCTTGGCTAATGTTTTTATTCTCGGATAAGTCTCACCTCCGGACATTTGTTTTGTTTTCTTTCTTACACAGCTATTTATCTCGAAACGTGACATACCGTAAAATTCCGAGAATAAGCCCCGGGTCTTATATTTTTCAAAGGTCCTTTTTGAGGGGCTTATTTTTGGACGGGCTTATATTCGTAGGAGCTTATGTACGGAGGGAAGTTTGCGTTTCAAAATCGATTGGGCTAGCTTATAGTTGGAAAGAAATTAACCGTTTTTGCTTTGTTTTACTTTGTATTTGAGGGCAATTTTCCAAGTACAAGACCCCGGGGGGCTTATATTGGGAGGGGCGATTTCACGGAGGGTTTTTTGTGTTACGAGTTTGGGGGAGCTTATACATGGAGGGGCTTATTTTCGGAATTTTACGGTAGTTTCAGCATGGGATTCAAATATGGCCGCATACCAGTAGTTTCAAAAGCGCATTTACTAGAATTTTGAATGAAATATTGGTCAATTTTTTATTCAGTGCCAGTAATGAATTAGGTAAAGTTTGGGAGGAGACGGAGGAGGAAAATCTAGTTCGTGTTGTAAAAATAGTCAGAGGGACGGGAGAAGATTCAGGAAGCTAAGAGGATCAGTAAAATTTGAAGAAGGCTTTCTCCAATTCACTCAAGCCTTGCCCTCCCTGATCGGTTTCTTGTAAACTTACTCACCGGCCGGGAATATTTATCCGCTCTTAACAAGCGATTTTCAAGGACCCTCTATACTAATAACCCCAGACAACCGAGCTGGCTCGGTTTCCTAGATCTCGACGCATTCAGTTTCGATATATAGCCAACTTCTGTAAAGTATTAGCCACAAGTCTGATATGTTAACGCACATAGAATGGTTTTAACCGGTTAATGATATTCACTGTTTCTTATGGAGCCTATTTGCCAAACGCAATCGATCGTGGAACTGCGTTTCAGTTCAGTGAAAATCAAAGAGCTACGCCGGTTTGGAAGGTTTTATCTTTTACGTGTCTCAACGTCGAAAAGAAGCCCTAAACGAATGCAGCTGTCTCTAATTGTTGGAATTGCCCTCGGCTCCTGATTGGTTTCAGATTTGCCGATTTCCGGATGATCCGGATTTCCGCATTCCCGGTTTTCCCTATTTCCGGGTTTCAACATTTCCGGTTTACGTGTCAACCTGCATTTGACCTTGCAGAGCCGGTTGAATGGAAAGTTTATTCGAGGTTGTAGCTCTGAAATCTCAATTTTCTGATCCAAAATGAGACCTGCCTAGTTGATTTTCTGATTCTCGAGCAAACTTTCACCTCTGAACGGTTGTTTTACCGAGCTATTTAGCTCGAAACGTGACACAGTTTCACCTGTTTTGAGCTTCGGATTGTTCGCATGGGATTCAAAACTGGCCGCATACCAGCAGTTTCTAAAGTACATTTAGTGGAATGTTATGGAGTCCGGCATCTCAGGGATTGGAATATGGCTCAATTTGTGAGTCAGTGCCAGTAATGAATTAGGTAAGCCGTACTTTTGACAAAATCTGCTTGAGGTAGATGCGTTACGCCAAATCTGAAAATATCGTATTAGCTCGCATACGCGTTGATACCAACGGTCATAACTTTTAAAATACTGAAATCGTACGTGGGGTTTTGTATATTATTAATAACAGATGGTCTATCTTTGCGTCTATTTAGTCTAGAGCTTTCAACTATGTCCCAAAAGTCAGAAATAAGCTTTTAAAACGGGGTAATTTTTGGCCTTTCGCTCCAAGGCAATTAGTTGGGGTCATATTTTGCTTGATTTCGTCTTTCCAGCTAAATTTAGCGGAAAACTATTACTTTCAGGAAAAACTAGAGACGTTTACCTATAAATAGGTATAAAATTCATTGGTAGATGGTGCAAATCAAACATTTTACAGCGCCGCAAAAAATGCCAAATTCTCAATTTTCAAGACGTGCAAAATGGCCGTGGCGGGAAAAAATACTCGGCGCCCCCCAGCGCGGCCAGAAAATTATTGTGAATCAAAGCAAACCTATTTTAGTTATAGTCTCGATAAAGCCTTTCACTCGTCAGAGTTTCAGGCAAAATTATTTTTCACGCGAAATTGAGTGGGCGGTTTAATTGAGACAGCCTCTTAAGTGGTTATGTTCTTGAATTAACTGCAACTGGAATATTTTATGGCTTTTTAAATATTTACAAAATTTTAAGGATTTTACGCCAGCAAAATATTGTCAAATTTCAAAGGCCCAAGATCACATCCGATACATGATTTGGAACAAGAAAAGACATTCCACATTTAAAATCAATCTCTAAGCTTTTAAAATATGCTTTCAAAACTCTGGGCAACATATAAAATGAATTTTTGGGAACGGAAAATTCACGGAGCACTTGAGCTTAATTTGACCCTTCTGACTTGGCAATCAAGAGCTTCGGCGCGACACAAATCAATCCTCCAACAAATGTTTTAGTCAAAATACGTTTAACTTAGGCAATCGAAAGTCCCACAGAGATACATAGATGCTTTATACACATTAGGTGGCAAGTTTCATTTCCATTTTGTCATTCGTGACTGTGGAATTCTTATCCTGGCCTTCAGGTGCAGTATTTGAACTCGCTTTGCCAATGCAAAGATTTGAGTCAAGTTCTTATTCCGAAACAGCGAAGTTTGCAAAGTCTACTCTGAATATCTATCCTGTCTAGTATATAATTAGGTCTACAATTTGTTTGTCTATACCTTGTGTTTTGACGTCATTCCGCAATGGAACTAGGACATGCAAGCTGCAACGAGATTCCCGCTTTCTCGACATGTCACGTTTCACGTAAAAGGGCCATTTTAGACTTGATTGCGTTACTTAAACATGACAGCAATTTTTCCTGATTTGTGTACAAAAAAATTCTATCTCTAACCAACATGTTATAGGTAGGCCATTGAATGAGCACACAATCTCAATTTTTTCATCCATACCTAACTTACATTTGTCGGAAATGTTATTGAATGAACTGACAGTCTCAATTTTTTCACCATCACAGGCTTGTCGGATTCCCGACAAAACCAAAAAAATCCAAGAACCGAAATTTCCAAGCTCTAATTTCCGAGCCCTGAAATTTTTCCTTGAAGGATTATACACGTAATGTCAGATCCCGAGGGAAACAGTTAGTTTTGTTTTCCCGAAGGTCCTGATCCAATGAAACCTTTTTTCGGAAATTAGAGCTTGGAAATTTCGGTTCTGGGATTTTTTGGTTTCTTCGGGAATCCGACAAGTCTGTGATGGTGAAACTGCACGGTAAAAAAAATTAAGACTGTCAGTTCATTCCATAACATTTCCGACAAAATGTAAGTTAGGTATGGAATTTTTTCACAACTCAAAATAAAATAATCGAAATAATCGCTGTGTCATGTTTACGTAACACAATCAAGTCTAAAACGACCCATTCACGTGACTCTTGAAATATTGACCGCGCGGGAATTTCGCTGTGATTTGTCTCAGGCTAGTTTCATTGCAAGAATGAAGAAAAGAAGGACACAAACAAATTGTATACCTAATTATATACGAGACAGTATAGATAATTGGTGTAGATTTTGAAAACTTCGCTTTTTTATGATAAGAACTTGACCCAAATGTCTACATTGGCGAGGCGAGTTCAAATACTGCACCTGAAGGCCAGTATAAGAGTTCTTCAGTCATGACTGACAAAATGGCATGAAACTTTTCACCTATTGTATATAAAGCATCTATGTATCTCTGTGGGACTTGAGATTGCTTAAATTAAACGTATTTTGGCTGAAACATTTGTTGGAGGATTGATTTGTGGCGCGCCGAACCCCTTGACTTTCAAGTCAGAAAGGCCAAATTACGCTTAAGTGCTCCGTAAATTTTCTGTTCCCAAAAAATTCATTTCATATGTTGCTCAGAGTTTTGAAAGCACATTTTGATAGCTTAGAGATTGCTTTTTAATGTGGAATGTCTTTTTCTGTTTAAAATCACGTATCAGATGTGATTTTAGGTCTTTTCAATTTGACAAGATTTTGCTCGAGTACAATCCTTAAAATTTTGTAAATATTTAAAAATTCATAAAATATTTTACTTGCAGTCAATTCAAGAACATAACCCCTCAAAAAGTGTATTAAAACTCGTTTAATACGATAAGAAGCTTTTTGGGTTTGATGATACTTGAGTTTAATTGAAATCGTGTTCTTTTCGTAGCCTGGTCTAGAAGCCCTAAAAAGTGCTAAGGCGTAGGTGGTCAATCTCCCGAACTTGAAATTCGCCGTGTCACCAAAATATCTATCCAATGAAACTAAGATTTATACTATCATTACTAGAATACCTATAGTCCAGTCAACGTACTCATAGACCTGTCACTAGTTACCTCAGAAGTTTTTTCTTCAGTGTTGAAATAGGAAAGAGTCTTTAGTATACATATTAAAAGTTTAGGAAAATCTATGTATGGGAAGACACTTAAAATCAGTTCAATTATAACAGCCTGAATCAGTTACATGCAAACGAGGCTGAATTTAATTTGCGATAGAAAAAACGCTATTTTGAGTCATTAATTAGATTTTTCTGATCGAAACTTTGATAGGCAAGTTTGCAAAAGTTAAAAAATCATGTTAGTGACTTTAAACTTTCAATCATCTTCATCTACATCTTCATTGAAATCGAGTTGAAGTGCTGAGCATTGGTGCAACTTGTGCCTCGACAGTGTCCACAGGCAATTGAACATGCACTTAAGACCATGTGAAAATCAGGAGCCCATCACGGTCATAGGCTCAGCATGTCACGAGCGTGGGCCAAAGAAAGGATTCCAACCTACGTCCTCCTAAACATGGCTGGAGGTGGGTCGTGATAGGTACCAGTTGTCTATCATTTAATATCCAAATCCATTCTACAGAAGGTATTTGTTCTTCTTCGCCCTTCCACTGGATAAGCTGTTGGTGGTAGACTCTAATACTGAGGTATGATGCAGCAGCAGAAGTAGGAGTTAGGCTTCGAGGCTGAATCTGGGAAGTACCAGTGGACACCTTTTCATAATAGCGACGAAATCGTAATCCATCAAGCCCTTCTCCAGGCCTCCCATTGTAAAGACAAACAATGAATTGTTTACCACCTTGACAATTCCTTCCTTTGACCCTGGAAGACTGTCAAACACCTTGACGTGTTCACGAAGGTGGGTGTCGCTGAGAAATTTCTTTGATGGAAGACCTTTGCTAATTCCATACAATCCAGAGGTCGTATCGCATCCACTGATAGCATGAATAAAAATAATGTGTCGACAAATCTCTTGGCCAAACTTTTCGTTCACTGATTTTATATCCCAGAATCGTCACTTGGAATTTGCTTTTGATTCTGGTTGGAGAAAACGTCGGATACATCTAACTTTGCAAGCTAACAAAGCAGAATAAGAAGATCAGTGTCATCCCCGGTGCACGGTGTCTATTGTTCTTGAACTTTTCACACCTTTGTTTACTATAAGCAAATCAGCATCAGCTGTCGAGTGGTAGACTTGGCAATTGGCCTACTGAAGATAACCACTAAGCATGTTAATGAAGGACTGTTTATTGCTTTTGTTTGCCAGAAGTGATCCCACTCCATTGTAAGTTTCATGTCGTTATTAAGTGTGACGGTCGCACCCACTTTCTCTCCTGCACGTCTTTGCAGTTACGTTCTCTTTGTGGATGTACTTGTGTATCCATCAAAGACAATGATCACCTTTCCACACTGCAGGTACATATAATTGCAGTACAATACACAGATATTCCGATAGGTAGACCCTTGCGGCCAAGGGATTCGGTGAATGAGTCCACCACCATCCAGAACAAATTGGAGCTCTCTTTGAGGAACTGTGACATCTGAGCTTTCCATAGACAGAGCCCAAATAGCATCAGCAAGAACTGGCTTGTGTGGTTGGAGCAAAAGAAGTGAAGAATCAAAGAGACCAGGTCTCTAGCTGCATAGTTCAGTTTTTGAAGACTGTTTCCATTTTATCCAATGATTTCAAAGCTACAATTGGACGCTGGAATAGAAACTGCAGGTCTACTCGGATCGTCTTTCCATCAATTTTAACCAATGACTTTGTAGCAAGAGTCACAGCCTGATTACTTTGTTTGAAGGCAAACTCCGTGACAGACTTCACAGTCATTGACGCTAAGATGCCCTGTCCAATATCCTTGGCGTCATCTACATTTACAGTATAATTTGCATGGAACACCATTCATGATGCTTCTTAGGCCTTTTTGAGCAGTGAAGGGATTTTGCTCATCTAGGGCATTTAGCAGAGTTTGCGTATCTTTCATGTCACGGTTTTTTCTGGACTCTGAAAGGTCCATTTTTTGCTCGCTGGTACTGTAAGAGACTCCTGTGAAATCCAGCATGGCATGATTCATCTCAGCACAGCCTGGCGAAGAAAGGAGCCATATCAGCCGCTGTTGCCCGGTCATCCCTCTTCCTCTCGTTAAGCCACCACTCATCTTCATACTTCTCATACTTCTTAACACCTGCTCTAAAACAAGGTCTGTGGACAGCCCAGCCTATTTTCTTTCACTTGTTCTTACTACGTGGAATCCATCAATAAGTTTCTGGTACACAACAGGATGTTCGCTCTCTAAACGGACCAATGCAGGTACAACTGAGAAGTGTAAAGGTTGTGACCAGAAGGTGCCAAATAAGGAAGCATTTCAGAAATAGCTTCAAAATGCTGTACCTAGTGTCCAGTACGTTCTGCTTTGATAAATGTTTTTAGAATGTGGACCATGTCCATGTACTAAAATCAGAGTTTAGCAGTGCGATTGTCTTGAAGAGATTCCTTCTGCTGTTGGAACAGATGTTTGATCTTACTGACTGCACTGGCCAAGCTGACTTTTTCCACTGATTTCATCCTAACCATTAAAATTAATCTTCTTACAGAGCACAAGTTCGTTGAAGCTTATAAGCAGGTGTGCCTGCATCGCCTCTCCTTCACCTGTTGCATCATTCACGTCAGGGGCATTAGCTTCTACTTCAAGATCAGGAATGGACACTCCCAGGGCTTTAGAAAGGATATGGGTATTAAGAGCTGCATCAGCGAGCAGATAAGCTCATACGGCTCTTGCGATAGCTTTACCAATAAGAATGTGCTCAACTGCAGTTGGTGCATAAATCAATACCAGAAGTTCCTTTAGCACAGATTCTGCCATTAGTTGCCCAATGCTACCAATGAAACCTCTCTCTGTGTGAAAACTTCCAAGACTAAGAACTACCTGACGGAGGTCACTATTCGGAGGCTCAGACTCCATAATCATCGACACCTTCCACCACAGTGGCTGATCAAAGGTAATAACTGGTGTCCCTTCACGAGATGCATGTGGCGATACTTAAGCTCATGTTCATCATTAGAAGAAAGACTACCGATGATTGACCAGGATGACTGCCTCGATGAACGAATTGTTTCATGCCAGACCAGGTCGGTCTTGACACACCAAACCGGTAGTGATGTTTTCCTAACTACGTCCAGATTAGTTGCAATTCTGTACGGTCATTATTTATTTCCCTTGAGTTTAGGGCTAGGGTTATAAAAAAGGTTATCATGTCAGCCGAAGCGTTGTTGGAGATGACTCAGTTATGGTACCAGTGTAAAGAGCAATTAGAACGAACCCAAGCTACCTTACAAAGAAAAGATGGGAAAACTGATGGATACTATGAAAGGGGAACTACAAGCTTTAAGATTGGATAATAAGCAGTTACGTTATCAAATGTTGTGTTCCTCCTGCCGTGCTTATTTGGATAGTAAACAACCAGGGGACACCATTGAATGTTCTCCCTGTCCTTATTGTATTGGAGTATAAATCAACTCAGCAACTCTTGGTCTACATCATTCCAACATGACTTCACTGTTGTGTAAAACTCTTTGTACGTGGCATTGGCAAAGAACTGTCTGGATCTGTCGCAAACTGTGTGTGTATTCCGTTATTTTTTATGACATGTGCCCTCCAGTGCCTTCGTTTATTTACATAATAGGAAAGTATCCTTCATGGGGTCGATATCCAGTGTACATCTTGTAGCTGCAAAGACATTTTCCCACTCAGGGGGAGAGAGTTTGGCGCTATTTAAAGAAAACGTATGCTCAGTGGAGGTATTCGTTCTTGTTTCTTCTGGGACAGTGGTTACGGTATCATGTCCGACAAATTAGTGAAAGTCCTGATCCAATGAAACCTTTTTTCGGAAATTAGAGCTTGGAAATTTCGGTTCTGGGATTTTTTGGTTTCTTCGGGAATCCGACAAGTCTGTGATGGTGAAACTGCACGGTAAAAAAAATTAAGACTGTCAGTTCATTCCATAACATTTCCGACAAAATGTAAGTTAGGTATGGATTTTTTTCACAACTCAAAATAAAATAATCGAAATAATCGCTGTGTCATGTTTACGTAACGCAATCAAGTCTAAAACGACCCATTCACGTGACTCTTGAAATATTGACCGCGCGGGAATTTCGCTGTGATTTGTCTCAGGCTAGTTTCATTGCAAGAATGAAGAAAACAAGGACACAAACAAATTGTATACCTAATTATATACGAGACAGTATAGATAATTGGTGTAGATTTTGAAAACTTCGCTTTTTTATGATAAGAACTTGACCCAAATGTCTACATTGGCGAGGCGAGTTCAAATACTGCACCTGAAGGCCAGTATAAGAGTTCTTCAGTCATGACTGACAAAATGGCATGAAACTTTTCACCTATTGTATATAAAACATCTATGTATCTCGGTGGGACTTGAGATTGCTTAAATTAAACGTATTTTGGCTGAAACATTTGTTGGAGGATTGATTTGTGGCGCGCCGAACCCCTTGACTTTCAAGTCAGAAAGGCCAAATTACGCTTAAGTGCTCCGTAAATTTTCTGTTCCCAAAAAATTCATTTCATATGTTGCTCAGAGTTTTGAAAGCACATTTTGATAGCTTAGAGATTGCTTTTTAATGTGGAATGTCTTTTTCTGTTTAAAATCACGTATCAGATGTGATTTTAGGTCTTTTCAATTTGACAAGATTTTGCTCGAGTACAATCCTTAAAATTTTGTAAATATTTAAAAATTCATAAAATATTTTAGTTGCAGTCAATTCAAGAACAGAACCCCTCAAAAATGGTATTAAAACTCGTTTAATACGATAAGAAGCTTTTTGGGTTTGATGATATTTGAGTTTAATTGAAATCGTGTTCTTTTCGTAGCCTGGTCTAGAGGCCCTAAAAAGTGCTAAGGCGTAGGTGGTCAATCTCCCGAACTTGAAATTCGCCGTGTCACCAAAATATCTATCCAATGAAACTAAGATTTATACTATCATTACTAGAATACCTATAGTCCAGTCAACGTACTCATAGACCTGTCACTAGTTACCTCAGAAGTTTTTTCTTCAGTGTTGAAATAAGAAAGAGTCTTTAGTATACATATTAAAAGTTTAGGAAAATCTATGTATGGGAAGACACTTAAAATCAGTTCAATTATAACAGCCTGAATCAGTTACATGCAAACGAGGCTGAATTTAATTTGCGATAGAAAAAACGCTATTTTGAGTCATTAATTAGATTTTTCTGATCGAAACTTTGATAGGCAAGTTTGCAAAAGTTAAAAAATCATGTTAGTGACTTTAAACTTTCAATCATCTTCATCTACATCTTCATTGAAATCGAGTTGAAGTGCTGAGCATTGGTGCAACTTGTGCCTCGACAGTGTCCACAGGCAATTGAACATGCACTTAAGACCATGTGAAAATCAGGAGCCCATCACGGTCATAGGCTCAGCATGTCACGAGCGTGGGCCAAAGAAAGGATTCCAACCTACGTCCTCCTAAACATGGCTGGAGGTGGGTCGTGATAGGTACCAGTTGTCTATCATTTAATATCCAAATCCATTCTACAGAAGGTATTTGTTCTTCTTCGCCCTTCCACTGGATAAGCTGTTGGTGGTAGACTCTAATACTGAGGTATGATGCAGCAGCAGAAGTAGGAGTTAGGCTTCGAGGCTGAATCTGGGAAGTACCAGTGGACACCTTTTCATAATAGCGACGAAATCGTAATCCATCAAGCCCTTCTCCAGGCCTCCCATTGTAAAGACAAACAATGAATTGTTTACCACCTTGACAATTCCTTCCTTTGACCCTGGAAGACTGTCAAACACCTTGACGTGTTCACGAAGGTGGGTGTCGCTGAGAAATTTCTTTGATGGAAGACCTTTGCTAATTCCATACAATCCAGAGGTCGTATCGCATCCACTGATAGCATGAATAAAAATAATGTGTCGACAAATCTCTTGGCCAAACTTTTCGTTCACTGATTTTATATCCCAGAATCGTCACTTGGAATTTGCTTTTGATTCTGGTTGGAGAAAACGTCGGATACATCTAACTTTGCAAGCTAACAAAGCAGAATAAGAAGATCAGTGTCATCCCCGGTGCACGGTGTCTATTGTTCTTGAACTTTTCACACCTTTGTTTACTATAAGCAAATCAGCATCAGCTGTCGAGTGGTAGACTTGGCAATTGGCCTACTGAAGATAACCACTAAGCATGTTAATGAAGGACTGTTTATTGCTTTTGTTTGCCAGAAGTGATCCCACTCCATTGTAAGTTTCATGTCGTTATTAAGTGTGACGGTCGCACCCACTTTCTCTCCTGCACGTCTTTGCAGTTACGTTCTCTTTGTGGATGTACTTGTGTATCCATCAAAGACAATGATCACCTTTCCACACTGCAGGTACATATAATTGCAGTACAATACACAGATATTCCGATAGGTAGACCCTTGCGGCCAAGGGATTCGGTGAATGAGTCCACCACCATCCAGAACAAATTGGAGCTCTCTTTGAGGAACTGTGACATCTGAGCTTTCCATAGACAGAGCCCAAATAGCATCAGCAAGAACTGGCTTGTGTGGTTGGAGCAAAAGAAGTGAAGAATCAAAGAGACCAGGTCTCTAGCTGCATAGTTCAATTTTTGAAGACTGTTTCCAT